GCAGCAGTCAGACGCTTGGTCGTGCGGGCCCAGGGCGGCGTGGATGGCACGGCAGTGCCTCGCCGTCCCGTGGGGCCAGTGTTTGACGGAGGAACACTTCTCTACGCCATTTTCAGACACTGCCTCCCTGGAGCAGCTGGAGAGGCTCACCAGCGACGTCGTGCGTGCCACAGTGCCGTTCTGGCGGCAACACGCCAGCGACGCCGCCGCCATCGCGCCCCAGCTCGCACCGCGCGGGGGGCGAGCGAGGAAGCAGTAGGGCATCCTCCCGTGGGCGGCGACCAATGCGCCCTGCGAGATTCCGCTCTTGAATGTTTCGGCGGCCTGGATGTATCAACGCCCATGGACATGGTCGCGGGGAGCGGAAACTCCCCTGGGGCGGCGCAGTGGACAGTTCAAGGAGGAGCGGGAGCGACGAGGTCTGCTTCGGGCGGAACCGGGGCCACCGCGGTGGACCCGATTGCGGAACAGGAGGCCGCGGGCCCGAATGCGCCCGAGCACGCGCTGCCGGGCCATGCGCGCGGTGGTCGGTCGCGCGGCCAGAAGAGGGCAAGGGCCGGGGCAGCAACGTCCACGGAGCGTGCACTTCCGACGCCCGCTCGGGCGCGCCAGCGCCCTAACGCCGACGCCCCGCCGCTTCCTGTCGGCGGCCCCGTCTGTCTGCCGCGTCCGATGAGCCCGGCGGGGTCCTCTGCTGAGACGGCAGAGGCGGCGGCCGCCTCGCCGCGGCGCCTCGCGGCGGACCAGAGCGCGGGGCCCCCTCCCGGAGACGTTGCGGCCGCGGCAGGCCACGGTGGCAGGCGGCGTGCCAGCCCCTCCAGGCAAGGCGCTGCCAGGGGCGCCGCGGCGCGCGCACGCGGCTGGAGACAGTCGGCGGCAGAGTGCGGCAGGCGTGCCCTGCAGGAGGTTCGCGCAGACGTTGACCCAGGAGATTCCTTTCAGAAGTTGCTTGGCTGCGCGGTTCGCGAGGTTCGAGATCAAGTATCTACTGCGCACGGAGGCATGGAGCAGATGTTGGGTGATCCGCACGCTCTGGAAGAACTCTTCTGTCTCCTCACGGAGACAACCTATGCACCTGCCTCGCGGCTCGGCCCGCCAGCGACACAGCGCGACCGACCCGACCGGCCAGTTCGGGTTCGCCCGGCGGCCCGACTCGAACCGCCCCGCCCGTTAGGGCCCGTGCGCCCGGCCTGCCCCGACCCGCCCGTCAGGGCATTCGCGTGCCAACTCCACGATGACCCGCCCGTCCGGGCATTCGCGCGCGCGGCCACTCGATGACGCTGCATTCTTTCATGTCTCGCCCGCCCGCTTCGACCCGACCGGCCCGTTAGGGCTCGCCCGCCCGCCCGAGCCGTTTCGCCCGTCAGGGTAATGTCCCCCCCGCCCGTCCCGACCCGTTCGGCCAGTTAGGGTCCACCCGCCCGCCCGACTCGTTTTGCCCGTTAGGGTTTGCCTGCTCGGCTCCGCCGCCCCGCCCGTGAGGGTGATCGCGGCGCCGCTCGATGACGCAGCATTCTTTTTTTGTCTCGCCCGCCCTCTTCGATCCGACCGGCCCGCGAGGGTCCGCGCGCCCGACCCGAGCCGTTCCGCCCGTTAGGGTACTCGCGTGCCAACTCGATGACGCATCAGACATCGATGTCCCGCCCCGTCCGGATCGCTCGCCCAGCCGACCCGATGTCTCCCTTGGTGCCGCACGCTCGCGGCGGCGGATGATGTCGATGCTCTGGTCGGCGGGACCGGCCCCAATGACGTGGAGTTCGGCGTCGGCGCCAGGGAGCAGGCGACGGGCGAGGATCCGGTGGCATCTTCGACTTATGAGTGTCTGTATAAATTATTCGAGGCCTTTTTCCTTCGATGCGTGCAAGGCGAATTCGCAGATGAATCACGGCTTGCGGCATTCCTCGAGACCGTTCCCCTGGAGGCGACCACCGCGCGGCTGAGCAGCTCCGCGTACAGGCGGGCGTGCGAGTGCAACGGCTTGCCGCCTGATGGGCATTCGCTGTTTGGCGCCGTCCAGGGCAAGGCGGCCTATCTGTTCTTCGGTGCTGACCGGCAGGTGGTGCTCGAGGCCATCGACGATACTGACAGCACGTGGCAGTTGTCCACACACAGGTGCTGCGTGTTCCTGCTGGGGACGAGCGCAGTGGGCAAGGACACGCTGATCGGAATCCTCAAAGCACTGGACGAAGAGATTTTCAAGGGATCCCCTAGCCTAAAGTCCTTGCCTTGCTTCAACTCGTTAGTGGTGGGGCACCCTACCTACAGTGGGTTGCTGGGTGCTCTCCAAAAAGGCAAGACGGCGAACGGGACGTGCTGCCTCCAGTGGTACAACTCGGAGATCAAGCAGTGCATAGGCACATCAGACAGGGCTATCCGAGAGGAGCACTTCACTCAGCTCGCCGAGGGCACCGAGATCGGCAAGCGCACAGAGGATAAAGACGTTTGCGTTCGACCGAACCCGTGGTTCGTAATTGGTGCTCAGCCTGAAGCTCTGGCAGAAAGATTCGGCGCCTCAGACAATGGTCGCCTGCGGGCTTTCACGGTGCGCCTCGACGTGAAAGAGAGCCTGAACATCGGTTTCAAAACCAAGTTTTTACATCGGGGTTCTTCCTTCAAAGTGATTGCGCGGCTGCTCGGCGACATTGCCGCGGCGCAACAGAAGGGCGCGCCGTTCATTAGGAATACCAAGTACGCCCCGGAGTCATTTACAGTGCACGCTGCGATGCATGACGCCGCTGGCGACGTACTGCGGCGTTCTCACTGCGAGGACGCGCTCGTGGCCACAATCGTGAAATTCGTAGGTAAGGGCTTCGGCAGCATAGCAGGATGCAACGTGGGCCTCCGCAGTGCTGAGTGGGCCCAGGCGGTCTTCGAAAAAGGCCTGGGCGCCGCCATTCCCCGGGACTGCATGATTCGGTTCGAGGACGCCCTTGCGGCCTCGAGACAACTCACGCGGCACATCGCCACGCAGTGCTTCACCGAGTCAGTGATCGCTGCCAGTGCCGGCCACAATTTCGGCGACCTTGTCGGAGGCGCGGCTGTTGCTTTGCACGTGCTCTTCGGGCCCGTGGCGAACGCGGCCCGGCGGTTCCTCGACTTCCTCGCGGACCACGCGGATTGGCAGTGCGTCGTGAAGGATATTGGTCTTCCATACTGTGTGCCCCATGGCAAAGTGAAAAGTTTGCGGAACGCATGCTTTCAACGAGGGTCGAATGCTGAGGTCCTTGCCTACGGCGGCAAGGACGTGTACGCGGTGTTCACAAAGGCTGACAATTGGCAGTCCTTGTTGGACTGCCTGCGCACGCACGGCCTGGCTGCGGCTGAACAGGGACGAGATGAGCGGACCGCCGTCCGGTTGCTGCGTGGGGAAGAGCTCGGCCCCGAGGGCCGCCAGGCCGCCGAGACCTGGAAGCTTCGCGACGCCACCGTGCAGTGGCTCCTGGACGCCACCGCGCAGGCGTAGGAATCTGCAGTCCTGTTCAGATTTCTTCCTGGTGCTCTGCACATCAGCACGCACGATCTGCTCCTGGCAACGTAGTTGCAATATGTTGCAAATTGTTGACGCTTCGCGCATCCCCACCAGCCCATCCAAAATCGATGCCCAGGAAGGCCGGTGGAAAAAAGGGAAGAAGAGACGCAAGTCGTGAAACATATCGGTCAAAAACGGTGGATTGTCAGATCTCTGGTGGCTAACGGCACGGTCGCTGCTGTTGGTGATGCTGCTGCTGCTTGTGCTGCTGGTGGTGGTGGTGACGGTGCTTCTGCTGCTGGTGATGCTGGTGGTGTTGTTGGTACTCGCGATGTTGATGCTGCTGCTGGCGCTGCCGCTGGTGCTGCTGCTGCTGATGGTGCTGCTGCAGTTGCTGCTGCTGTTGCTGCTGGTTTTGCTGGTTCTCGAGGGGGGGGAGAGGGCGGAAGGTGAAGTAGGGGGAGCAGGAGGAGGAGGAGTCGGCCGATAAGGAGGAGGAGCAGCAGGATGATGATTATGATGATGAGAAGGGGAGGGATAAGGAGGACAATGAGAAGGAGGAGGGAACCGGACGAACGGAAGAGCCTCTTAGGGTGATTATTCGGAGTTGTTTTGGATGCCTCTTGCAGCGTCTGGGAGGGGGGGGGGGGGGGGCATCTTCGGGGGGAGGATGAGGTGGGCGAGCAAAAAGGCCAGAGGTCTCTTGAATGCATTTTCGGAGCTTCTTGGGATATCTCTTGGGCGCTTCCTGGAGGCATTTTGGGACGTCTGGGGCGCCTCTTGGCCGTCCTGGGGGAGCTCTGGGGCGTCTTGAGCGCCTCGGGGAAGGCCTCGTGGGGCCGCTTGGGTTCCTCTTGGGGGCCTCGTGGAGGCCTCTTGGGGCCATCTTGGGACTATCTTGGGACTATCTTGGCGCCTCTTGGAGCCTCTTTGACACCTCTTGGGGCCATATCGGGACCTTTTGGGAACCTTCGGAGCGTTCTTGGGGCCATCTTGGGGGAGATCGGTCAAAGAAGGGGAGTGGTCAATTAGCCTCGCCCCTCTAGAACCTATAAAATCGTCTCCTGGACCCCTCTTGGGCCGCTCTTGGTGCACTCTTGGGGCGCTCTTGGGGCCATCTTGGGGCTCTCTTGGGTCCCTCTTGGGGCCTTCTTGGGCCATCTTGGAGCCAACTTGAGGTCTCGGATGGCCATCGGAAGCGAAACGGCGAGAAGGGGCACATCATTTGTATTCTGTAGGTTTTTGAAGGATTTGGGTATCTTGGAGGCCTCCTTGGGGAATAATTTAGCCTCTTGGAGCCGTCCTGGGGCGGTCTTGGGGCCTCTTGGAGCATCTTCGGAGCCATCTTGGGGCATCTTAGGCTATCTTGAGCCATCTTGGAGGTCATCTTGGGCTCTCCGAGGCCTTTGTGAAGCCGTCTTGGGCCATCTTGGACTCTCCAGCGCGTCGCGGAACCTCCCGTCCAAGTCCAGGGGGCGTGGTAGGGGAAGGGGCAAACCCCTCCCCGAAGGGGAACAATGGGGGTTGGAAGAGGAAACTCCCTAAACCCTAGACCACCTACGCCCTAAAGGGCTGGTGGGATTAATCTGGCTGCTCTGTGCACTGGGCCCGTTGCGCCAGGATTATAGCTTTCTGCCAGCTCGTGGTTGCTTGTCTCCTCCTCTTGCCCGTCTTCTTTGTCTCTTCCCCATTCCCCTCCTCCTGCTCCTCCTGCAGCTCCTCCAGCCACCTCCCCCCCTGCTGTCCACCGCTCGCGTTGGGGCCTCGCGCGGAACCCGCCGTTTTTAACGGCATGGTTGGCGCGCGCGCGAGTTTTAATTGCATGGTACGAAGGTGGGTTCAGAATCACTGAAAGACGACGCGTCGTCGCCGCGGCCGTCGCCGTCGTCGTCGCCGTCGACATCGGCAGGGGGTGCTAATGAACAGTCTGTTGTTTCAGGACCCGTTTTGAAAGACTCCAGGCACGACCGCACCCGAGGTCAAGACAAAAGACAACGCTGTGGGAAGCCGAACATCCTGTCGGTTGCATCATGAGGCTCTCTGAGGCTCTTTTCGGCGTTTGTATGGTCAGTTGAGCACGCGCGGGGCCGTAATTCTGATGGCGCTGGGCCGTCGGCAAGCCCTCCGAGGTCGGCTATCTCGGAGGACTCTTGGGCCGTTTCGAACCGACGGCGCCCCGCAAAAGAGAAAATATCGCAACCCTACTTAAACGTACAAGGACTAAGTACTTAGGGCCTCTTGGAAACTTCAGCGCCCCGGGCCCGGGCCTTGGGCCCTACGCCGCGCCCGGGCCCTGGCGATGCATGACAGCCCCGCGCCGTTTTCAACGCATTCTGCTTTGTTCCTACGCTGCCCCGTGGCTCAGCGTGGCAGGGTCGTTTCGCTCCTTCGCGGCCGCGGCCGCCAGAAAAGATGGCAGCGGGCCGCCCGGCGATGCCCCTTTTACAACCGAGAACCGCGGCCGCTCGTCCGTCGCGCGGTCTTCGCGAAGTGCGCGATGGAGCAGCTGGAACTGCTGCGGCTGGTGCGCCCCGAGGAGCCGGCGCCCGCCGCAGCGGCCGCCGCGGTTGAGCAGTTCGGCGTCGTGGAGGACGAGGTTGGCCATGTCGTGCTGCGCTTGGCTTTCTGCACAACGACCGCCTTGACGGATTGGTTCGCGGCGCGAGAGGGGGCCCTCTTCGCGTGCCGTTGGGCTCGCCTGGCCGCGGCCGAGCGCGACCGCGCCCTTTCATCTCTGGGCGCCGCGCGCGCCGGCACCGTACCAGAGACACATGTCTACCAGGTGTCGTTCACCGAGGTGCCGCCGCGCATGCTGTCTGAGCGCCGCGTGGTCCTTCGGAATGGCGCGGCCCACGTGCCTGAGTGCGAGGCCGTCGCACTGGCCTGCTACCTGTTCGCATCACAGCTGCGAGAGGCGCTGCAATGGGCAGCGGGCGCTATGGCCGAGGAGGCGCGACAGCAGCAGTTGGAGGGCGCACGCGCGTTGCTGGAGACGCTCCGGCGGCGCGGCGACGAGCTTCTGTCCGCGCCCCCGGTCGACTCAACGCTCCGCGGCCCCGTCGGCGACGTTCCAGAGCTGCGGCTGGGGACCTTCGAGAACGCACTCGCGCCCTTCCCGCCCTGCATGCAGCACCTAGTGCGGCACCAGCGGCAAGGGGCGCGGCTGCGCTTCCAGGGGCAGCTCCAGCTGCGGCCCTTCGTTCGCAAGGCGGGCATGCCGCTGCCAGACGCATTGCGCTGGTGGGAATGCGAGCTTAGACGAGACCCAGAAGTGACTAAGGAGCGTTTCGAACGGGAGTACAGGTATCACATAGAGCATGCACACGGCGCGCGCGGCCACATGCGCGGCGCGCACCCTTTCGGGCGCGCGCGCATCCAGTCGTTCCTTGCGACGGAGGCTCGGCAAGTGCACGGGTGCCCTTTTCAGCGAGGTCACACGGGCGCGTACGCTTTGCGCGCTCTTCTGCCCTACTGGGGGCTGACGCCGCGGGACGCCGACGCCGTCCATCACATAGCTCAGCAAGGCGCCCCCTCCGCAACGTGCGCTGATTTTTTCCGCGCTTTGCACCCCTGGGCCGCGTGGCGGGCGCTCGGCGAAGTCCGTCGCCCAAACGAGTACCTCCGCCAAAGCTTGCTGGCCGTTGCTTCGCGTTATCCGGATCCGCGCCCGGCCGCCCCCGGGCCTTCCCCGGCAGAGGCCGCCGAGGCGCCGGCATTTCAGCAATAGTTTGGTAGTCCGACGGGCGCTTGCCAGCGCCTGCCAGGATAACAGCGGCCGCCGAACATGTCTGCTTGTGGCAGCCCTATGGGAATTGCATGAAGGCTCGTCCGCGCAGGCGACTGCGCAGCAGCAGGGGGCGCTGACTGCCCGCATGCCTTTGCGAGGTCGGAGAAAATCGCTCCACGATGACGACGCCCGTCGCCTCCGCCCGCCGTCTGCTGAGCATAACGTTTTATGTTGCTGCTCCCCAGACCAGTGCCCGCCAGCCCGACCCGGCCCGACCCGCCCGTTAGGGTTCAGCTGTGCTCTTTCGTGTGCGCCCCACACTTTAGTGTCCCGCCCGCCCGACCCGACTCGCCCGTTAGGGTCCGCCCGCATGGTCCGACCCGCCCGTTAGGGTCCGCCTGCCCGACCCGACCCGCCCGTTAGGGTTCAGCTTTGCTCTCTCGTGTGCGCGCCACACATTAGAGCCCCGCCCGCCCGACCCGACCCGCTCGTTAGGGTCCCGCCCGGTCCGATCCGCTTGTTAGGGTCCACCCGCCCGACCTGACCCGCCCGTTAGGGTCCAGTTGTACTCTCTCGTGTGCGCCCCACACTTTAGCGTCCCGCCCGCCCGTGCCGACCCGCTCGTTAGGGTCCGCCCGCCCGACCCGACCCGACCGTTAGGGTCCGCCCGCCCTACGTGACCCGCCCGTTAGGGTCCAGTTGTGCTCTGCTGGTGCGCCCCACACTTTAGTGTCCCGCCCGCTCGATCCGACCCGCTCGTTAGGGTCCGCCCGCCCTACCGGTCCCGCCGGTTAGGTTCCGCCCGCCCGACCTGACCCGACCCGCCCGTTAGGGTTCCGCTGTGCTCTCTCGTGTGCGCCCGCCTTTTTAGTGTCCCGCCCGCCCGACCCGACCCGCCCGTTAGGGCCCGCGCGCCCGACCGGACACGCCCGTTAGGGTCCGCCCGCTCGACCCGACCCGACCCGCCCGTTAGGGTTCAGCTGTGCTCTCTCGTGTGCGCCCCACACTTTAGTGTCCGGCCCGCCCGACCCGACCCGTTCGTTAGGGTCCGCGCGCCCGACTGGACCCGCCCGTTAGGGTCCGCCCGCCCGATCCGACCCGACCCGCTCGTTAGGGTTCAGCTGTGCTCCCTTGTGTGCGCCCCACACTTTAGTGTTTGTTTACCTGTTTGCTGCTCTTCCTCCTCCTCCTCCTCCCACCTCCTCGTCCTCGTCCTCCACCTCCCTTCTCTCCCGTGGAGGAGGAGGAGGAGGAGGAGGAGGAGGAGGAGGAGGAGGAGGAGGAGGAGGAGGAGGAGGAGGAGGAGGAGGGAGGAGGGGGAGGAGGAGGAGCAGGAGGAGGAAGACGAGGCGGGGGAGGAGAGGAGGAGGAGAGGAGGAGGAGGAGGAGGAGGAGGAGGAGGAGGAGCAGAAGCAGGAGGAGCAGAAGCAGGAGGAGCAAGAGCAGCAGGAAGAGAAGAAGTAGGAGGAGGAGGAGGAGGCGGAACAGCGGGAGGAGCAAGAGCAGAAGAAGAAAAGGAGGAGGAGGAGGCTCTAGGCCCCAGCGCCGCTTGTGAAACACAACAACAAAAGTATGTGCTTAGGTTTCTGAGGCCCTGCTGGGCCCCAGGGCTCCCAGGGTTAGTTGAGCCCCCCTTGCCTTTCTCGGCTCCTCCTCCTCTTGGTCCCCCTCCTCCTCCTCCTCCTCCTCCTCCTCCCCTCCTCCTCCTCCTCCTCCTCATCATCATCATCATCATCATCATCCTCGTCCTCATCTCATCCTCCTCATCCCATCCCGCCTCATCCTTCTTCTCCTCCTCCTCCTGCTCCTGCTCCTCCTCCTCCACCATATCCTCTTCCTCCTTCTCCTCCTCCTGTCCTGGTCTTCTTGAGAGGTCTGTGCTCCCAGGTGCCCATCTGCGCGGGCCTGGGGTCATCGTCGTCGGCGGCAGCAGAGGGGCTAGAGCAGGACGGGGAGCTTTTGCAGGGGCGTCTGCTACCCCAGCGTTTTCTCTTCGTCCCCCTCTTATTCCTTCCTATCCTCCTTCTGCTCCTCCTCCTACTTCTGCTCCTGAATTTCCTCCTCAGGTCTCTGTTTCCTCCTTCCTCCTCCCTCCCATTTTCTCCTCGTCCTCCTCTTCGTCCTCGTTCTGTGCCTCCTTCTCCTCTGCCTCCTCCTCCTGCGTCCCCCCTCTTGCTCCTCCTCCTTCGCTTCCTTCTCGTCCTCTTTGTCGTCGTCCCTCTCCTAATACACCTCCTCATCTTTAGTACTTGGAATCGGCCTCCAGCGTTCAGTCCCCCGCGTTCCTCCTCCTCTCCTCCTCCTCCTCCTCCTCCTCCTCCCCCCTCCCGTCATCGTCGGCACTTTCACCGCATGCCCGACCATATCTCCTCACACCCCTCACACGGGTAGTGGCCCCATATGCAGCTCCACCGAAGGCTCCAGTGGCTGCGTCCGCATGGCACCTCCGTCCGCCCGGCCCGAGTGCGCAGGCGAAAGTAAAACGCCACAGGCCACCCCTCACGCAGATCCGCCCCGGGGACCCGACGCGCAAGGCAAAAAAAACGCCACAGACAAAACAAAACTGTAAAGATTTGTTGTTGTGCCTTGCGCGTTGCAGCCGCCTTCGTTCTGACAAAGCTGGGGTTCGGGGCTCACGATTCGGCTACGAGCGTCCGCGGCGGGGGCGGGGCCCTCCATGTTCTTCGGTCCCGAAGTCACGGTGCGGCCTTCAGCAACCGCGTGCCCCTTCATGATGGTGGTGCGATTGCAATCACCCTCGCATGTTCTTAGGGGACTGTTTGGCGTTGGTGGGCTTCGGGCTGCGGGGCTTAGGGCGTGCGGATGCAGGCTTGATTGAGGCTGCGTACGCACGTAGGCCGCAGGGCTCGCGCGTCCGCGGCACGGGCAGGACCCTCCATGTTCTTCGGTTTCGATGTCAAGGTGCGGCCTCCAGCAACCGCGTGCCCCTTGATGATGGCGGCGTGAGTGCAATCACCCTCGCATGTTCTTAGGGGAGAACTTGGCGTTGGTGGGCTTCAGGTTTCGGAGAGTAGGGGGCGCGGCTGCAGGCATGAGGCTAGGGCGGGCGGGCGAAGCCACGCGTAGCTTCCTGGGCTGCGGCAGGGCTGAGAGGTTGGATG